CTGCCTTTATTTCCCAATCATATGCTTCCCAGCATGTTCTAAGAGCATTATCGCTAGGAAAAGAACGTTGAGCTCATGTATCTAATTTTACTTCCACCCAAAATAAGTCATTCCTCTTCATCTAAGAAAAAAAAAACTAAGTGATTAAAATTAAGAAAAATGGACAATTACTATGAATACTGAACCTTTACTGATAAAGTATAAATAAGCGGGAGCTTCTTTCGCATGAGAATAGCATAAACAAATATGAAATGGAGAAGTCTGACTGTTTATGATACCTACCATGCTCCCAATCCTTTCTGTCTAGGATTTCTGGGTGTGTCTTGTTCTATTTTACAATTTTATGCATAAAACTGAAGTTTACTCATTTCTATTGTCGATAGCTTCCTTAAATTTATCTCCATCTAATAATATATTACCAACTATACTGAAAGATCTGTTCCAAGGTACAATTTCTTAGCTTAAGGAGTTTACTAGAGAGGCTGGAAGATACTGGAATCATACACACTACACTAGCATAATAAGATAACAAACTGGACATACCATAAAAAGTGAAGACACACTCCTCTGGGAGTTCCAACATAGGAAAGACTGATGTAGACTAAGGGACAGAGAAGGAAAAGTTTTATTTAGAGAAGTGGTGGGATTTGAGCTGGGCTTTAAGGCAGGGAAAAATTCACCTAAGCAGGGGGATAGGGCGCATTCTAGATCAGAGCAATAAAGATATAAGTGTGGGAACAAGACAGAGAATATGTAAGGCACACAGTTTAGAGCCAAACAATAAAAAAACAAGTAGTACAGGAAGAGGATTTGTATCTCATCTTTTTTTTCTACCTCCAATACACCCATGAGATAGGACATCCTCTAATCATTAACTGCGGCAGTGGACAGCAGTAAAGATTTTCACATCTGAGAGCCATGATACTAAAACTGGTGGAAGCAGAAAAGCAAGAAGAGGAAAGGCAAGAAAAGCACTTATGGTCTGACTTCAAAATTTCAGATGTTAGGTAATAAGGATGGCAATAATGAAAAAGAAAACACTGACAGAAATAGGAAAGTCCAAAATCGAAGCCAATTTTTTTTTTTTTTCAACAAAATGAGACTCATTTCAGACACACTGACTTTGAAATGATAAACACCAAAAAGTCTAACTGGAGATGTGAAGCTGGAGAGCAGAGGGCTTGACAAATATTTGGGAGTCACCAGCATATGGATGATAGGGACATAGAAAAGGAAGGAAACAAGGTGGGAGCAGGTATCAGTCAATCTCTGGCAAAGACAACAGAAAGCAAAGGGTCAGAGAGACAGGAGAATATCTTGAGGACCAAAATTCAAGAAAGCAGGAACCAATGAAGGAAAGACCAATAGATTGAGTCATAAAATTATTCCTGGTTCTGGGAAGAAAAATTAAAGCACAGTGGTATGGGCAAACAGCAGACTAAACAGGATTACTGAAAGGCTAGAAAGAGGGAAAAAATGGCAAAAGAAAGAAAGAGAGGGAGGGAGAGAGGGAGAGAGGAAGGGAGGAAAGGAAAGGAAAGAAAGGAAATCAGGTTGGGCACTAAAGTGGCAGCAATAGCATAAAAAATAACAAAAAAGGTATTTTCAAATTGGTGAGTCCTGTGTGCAGACAGCCGTAAGTGGAGACAGGGGTCAGAGAAGGAAGAGCGTGATGATAAAGGAGGGATAGGTAATAAGGAGATGACAGCAGGGTATAGAATACTACTACTAATCAGAACATTTACTGAACTCTTACCTACTACCAATCACTCTGTCGGGCCCTGTAACTGCATCACCTCATTTTATTCCTACAGTAACTCTAAGTGTTTGGTATTTTTATTATCCTATGTTACAGAATAGAAAACGAATATGTAGTGATTATATTACTTACAAACCGATCAAGAGCTAGAATCAGAAATTGAATTTAAGTTTGTCTGATACCAAGCTATTCCTACAAACTTCCAGGCAACACTGACGAAAGCACACATGAGAGTACATTCCTAATTTGTTTACTCAGAAGAAAAATTTTGATAAAATTGTATGTAGGCAGCTTAAGGTAGGAAAGAATGTGGGTTTGCTTTCTCTCCTTAACAAACAAAAGCCCAAATCATGTCTATTTCAGATAGAATGGCCTTTTATAGATTTTTCCCATTGGATTACTTTGGGCCTAATTTCTCCCTAGAATTTGATAAACTAGAAAGACTGCTAGTTTATCATATGTGTTAACAGTGATTATTTCAGGAAATAAAATTTGAAGTTAATTGCTTTGATTTTCAAGAAAAAAATCTTGAGCTGAAAGTTTTCAAGATGGTAGTTCATAGGATTATGGACAGGAAACAAAAATTTAGAAATTAATTACATAGCAGATTTTATAATTTACCTGTATTAGGAAGACTACAGAGTTGCCAAACAAAAAAGAACTAGTCTTTTTGCACTGGTCACATGTCAATTTGGTTTCTGCGCTTGAGATATGAGCTCATATAATTACTATCTATAACTATAAATATGGAGAAAAGCAATCAAGTTTGGATTGGTCAGACATTCATTAATGGGTCAAAATTCCCTTACTTTTCTCCTGATATCTTTGTTTTGACATTTCTCATTAGCACCTACCTTAGAAAGTGGGGTCAGAAAGCAGTGAAGTTCAGGGTCAAGTGGGGGGCTCAGCTGGCTAAGCGTCCAACTGAGGCTCAGGTCACGATATCATGGTTCATACGTTCAAGCCCTACATCAGGCTCTGTGCTGACAGCTTAGAGCCTGGAGCCTGCTTCAGATTCTGTGTCTCCCTCCCTTCCTCTCTGCCCCTCCCCTACTCACGCTTGGTCTCTCTCTCTCTAAAATAAACATTAAAAAATTAAAAAAAAAAGTGAAGTTCTTTAATTTTGCTATTAATTAATAACTCTAGCAAATTGCCTTTTGCCAGAGAAATTAGAAAATAAAGAACTAGGACCTGGAAATAACTTAAAGATTTTAATTATCCATCTTATTCCTTAGTCTGTGCTTCATTAATGTATAAATCAGAGTTAACCAGCAGGTATGAAATCTTAAGACTTCTTGATGAGTTTTCTTGGGCTTCAGAAAATTAAAAATAATCACTAAAATGAAAAGTTTCAGTTACATGTAGATGTCACTTATCCATGTCATTCTTAATCTAGTAATCTAGTGTCTCGTTACCATGTATAATACAGAGATACCTGCTTGGGGTGGAATGAGTAATGAATCTACTAATATAAAGCTTTAATCAAATGTTCTTTTTTCAATGAACTTATGTTCAAACATTACAACTTTGTCTATACTAAGCATGCTCCAAGTTACCTTTTATTTACAGCACCTGATGCAGAAAAATTAAATAATTTAGACTCCCTCTGCCTATCAGACATTTTGGATTTATCAAAGCTTAAGATTTAACATATACCCTATCATTATCTCTAAGTGAAAAAGAAAAAAAATGAAGAAATTTTGACTGATAACAAAACTTCTAAAATGATAAGAAATCAATTTTCATGGGGATAGCCCATCGAGCCTGAAAGGAACAATATAAATTTCAATATTGTTCCAAACTAGCCTTTTAAAAATTCCCCTCCTTAAACGATGCAGTAGAGAAAAAACAACAAGTAGATGTACACAAATAACAAGATATTGCCTATTGCAAAAACCTTTGTACTTTGAAACACTATCTGGCTAAACTTAGAAGCTGTCCAGTATTATATCAGTAGTTACATCTATCTCTTCAGATTGAGGAAATTTATAGATTATTTGATCTTTCATTCTTAAGCTATTTTCAGCAAGAATTGCTTAAAGCCTGTGACTCTTTGCATTTCCTAAGAAGCTCAAAAACTGCACAAAAATAATGTAATTGAGGTAACCACCCCTCATTTCATTAACACAAAAGGAAATATACTAGTGATGATCTCTTGACTTTTCCATTACCTTTAGGAAAATTCCAGTATATGTGATAAATGTAGTAATCTAATAAAATAACCAACTGTAACAAGAAGTTCTCTTTGGCTTCTTCCTCAATATGTCAGTAAATCATTCTCCCCAACCAGGCATAGTCCACCTGATAGATAATCTCTGGTGTATGTCCTACATCAAAATGAAACAATGTATCTACTAATTTAGAGCTTTCATCCATTTAAAACTATCAGCACAAGGAGGGAAATCCAACATACAAGTAACATGTTTTAAAAGGCCCATCCATGAGCTCTTACTGGCAACTGATAACGGTGCTTCTATGTCCAACCTCCTGTATGCACTGGTATAGCATTCAGAAAACAGTGCCCCAAAAACATGGTCACATGCATTGTTTACTGCTCTAAATGCAACACTGCCCACATTTTTAATGTTTGAAATACCCCTTTTTGTATCATTTCTTAATCAAAACCTGAGGTTTTATTATCTTTTCTATTTGTAAAATGATGCTATTTAACACAGCACTTGGTGAAAATGAATTAAATCTCTTTATGCTAAAGTTTAAGATACCCTGGCTAATAAGTAACTTACAAAATGCTATTTAAAATTGTTTCATATCAGTTCCCATCCTACCAGTATTATGAGAAACAGCCCTTTAAAAATACTAGGTCTCCTAGACAGCAAAATTTCATATTCATAAAAACCAATTTGCATTTTGATGATGATGGTGGTGATAATGATGATCTCACTCATTTAATTTCATTGGTGTAATAATATTTACATCGTAAGTCATTCAAACCTACCTTTAATAATATAATATGTAGGCAAATACTATCTTAAAAATACTTTCAAAACTAGAAATTTATGCTGAAAAATACTGCTTTCTCATTGCAGTGTAATCTTTGTAGGCCAGAATTCAGAGAAAAACAATAATTTTGCAAAAGGCAAATATTTATATAACATAAATAACAGGTTTTCCCTAGCCCTACTCATCAATACCACAACCATCACATAGTAAATGACCCTATATATTTAAAATTAATCTTCCTAAATCAGAAATAGAATACTCAGTTTTACAGTTCACTTACCTGAACCTCGCTTGTCCTCTGTTTAATAGTATCTTCTTTCTCCTTAAGGTCCTGTTCCACGTTATTCTTTTCCCTAGAAGACCAGCAAACAATGCAAGAATATTTGAGAACATCAGCTACAGCCGGTATGGTTATCCATCCTCCTAATCCTGAATCGCTTTTTAAATACATAGTGAAACATTCAATTTTTAAGTGAAGGGCAGATTTTTCCACCCTCTTTTAATTATTTATGGAATAGAAATCAATATAAGCTCTGTTTGTAAAAAAAAAAAAAAATGCTTTCTCACTAAAATGTGGTGAAAAGAGAATAGATTAAAAAAGGAAGAGGAGAAAAATATTCAATGAAACACTCAGGTTTCACTGATCTCACTGTTGCTATGGAAATAATGTCCAATGAAATTTGCTGGTGAAAAAAAGGAGGGGTTGCATCAGCTCTGTAAGCTTAACCCTTAAGTACCACTGGCAAATCAAATGAAAATGGCTAATAGAAATAGCCCACAATATTAAGGAAAAGGACATTTACTGAAGTGTTAATTTCCCCTTAAATCACTGGTGTGTACCAATTTTAGAATGAAACAACATAGAGAAAATGGTAAGACTGTCAATACACAGGCCATTTGCTCTATCAAATAATGCTCTGCTTAAAAAAGCTATTTTAGGACGACTTATCAATTCCAATTGATCAAGCACATAAAACAATGTATACTAAGTAAAAATAGAATCACATGAGCATTTATCTCTTTCTATATTCTTCAGATCAAACATACTAGGATCCACTTTTACTTTGAAATACCATTATCTATATTCTCATATGCTTCCATCAGAGCTAGATTTCTAATGAATGAGTCCTAAACAACCTTGGATTCAGAATTACAATATAAAGCTATTTCTTTTGATGTAATAAGTTTAACTGCCTGGTGGTATTGAACTCACACACACTGACTTGTTCCCTTCACTTTTTCTTTTCTTTTCTACAAAGTGAGAGAGAAATCCTTAGAATTCTGAAGCAATACATTTTTGGAGTGGGTGCAAAGGTAAAAGAAGGCCACATGAAGAAGGGAGGAGGCATTCACTAAGTCCTCCAGACTAGTACTGCAGAGTTCCTCCTTAAAGCCTCAGGACTGTATTTCAGTTTCATCCCAGACATCACCCAACATAAGCTCAGGCACCATTAAGCTATAGCATAAAGGAGAGTGGGAAAATTATACCAGATGAGATACCTAAGGGACAATGTTAATGCTACATTTCTATTTCTCACCTATTTGAGGTGATATTTTAAATGTAGAAAAAAAATCAACTCTTTTGGAAATGTAGGCACAATGTTCCTAAGATTTTTAAGGGAGAAAAAAAGCACGAGAATAAAAGCTATTTGTATTCTGTTACTTTTAAACACTTGAGATGGCTCACTAACCGCTTGTCAGATGGGTCACAATGTGGGTCATGACGTCGTGGAGATTTTAAACAGTTCCTTACCTTTCAAATCATTTTGGCAACCCATTCCTCCCATACCTCAATCTACTTATTATGCAAAGGTCATCCCCCACTTTCAACCCCTTATAAAATTAGGTAAAATCAAAAAATAGAAATCACAGGAAGAAAAATCTAAATATACCACACATATTCTGCAGGCTCAACCTTGGAAATTTTTTCTCTCCTTCTTATATGAGCAGAAGAGTGCTTTCATTCCTGCTGCAGCATGTCAGAGATAAGTCACATGAAAAACTAGCCCCCTTCCCAATCCCAAATTCTCAGAGGCATTCCACACGAGGTCAGTATCAATTCTGCTCCTTGTTTCTGACAGTAGCTAATAACAAAAATAGAAAACATCACACAGTATGGTAGACCAGCAATGTACCCACTAATGTGTGTTTGTATTCAATCCTTTCTGCTTCTCTGTTAACTGCTATTACTGACAGGGTTTGCTCAAAGATCAAGTGTGCAGGCAGGAAAATAGGGCTGCAAGAAAGCAGTGAGCTGGCAATGTATCCAAGAGAGAAGAAAAAGAGAGCTAAAAACAAAACAAAACAAAAAGAAGCTCACTTGGTGAAAAAGAAAAAACAATTAGAAAGGACTGTCACCTCTAACCAGCAAATATAGTCTATGTTTGGGTAAAATGAAGTTTAGAAGGTACAAATTTTTCTTCATAATTTTGGGTGTGGGAGTGACGGCAGCAGTGGTGATATCTCCAAACATATCATGAAGACCATTTCAAATTATATAATAAATATGGAATTTTAATTACTATGAGGTGTTAATTCTCATAGTACTGAGATCAGTAAAATCTTTTGATCCACTTTAATCTAGTAAAATTATAAAATCAAGTAGTACACATTACTAAAGAGAAAATTTTAAAAAATAAAATCAGTTATACTACTTCCATAAAACCATCACAATTGAAAATCTATCCTATAAACCAGACTAAAAATCAAATAATTTTCTCATTAACTTAGATTATAATTTCAAGGATGCTAAATTGTTATTCTGTGGTATTCCACAGACTCTACTTTTATAGTTATCCTTCTCATTTCAGGCAAGTAAAAATACCTAAATACATTTAGGGGCACGAAGGTGCTTAGTTAGGTACTTGATCATATTTCTTACATTCTCCTTGCTTTCAAATAACATCTCCTTTTTTTCTACAGATGATGGATATATAACTACACAAAGCATTCTATTTAACATTAGCAACTTAATAACTTAATTCTTTTCAAGATTCTGTGTCACAATAAAAAAGTATTTATACGCAGTTTCCTAAGAAGTCCACCAATATATGTGGATAAGACAGATTTAAGATGTATTTCAAAAGTAGGTGTGTGACCATTTTGCCCAAAGCACTACTCACCTTGGATGACAGAAAAAGCTATAGCCTTCAGCTTAGTAACTTCCAGAAGGGAAAAGAAATGATTCTACACACTTTGTATTTTAGACCATCTCTCTGACTCAATTCACTCCCAAGATGCTGGCACATCCTAAAGAATCCACAAATACCAAAGCCATAAAGAAAGGCTGGGAAATAGGGCTCACTGGTTTCCAAAAGCTGCCAGTTCTGATTCGATGGAACCTATCTGAACCATCAAAAAAAGCAAACCCAAGCTAAGCTTTCAAAAGCCTGAAGCTGGTAACTGTATAAATCTACTATGAAGTAATCAAAAACTATTATCAAGGACAAACAGGTTAGGGGAACCTGTGTCCATGCAATTCACTTTCATTTTTCTAGGCTCTGTTTATGGGAAGAAGGGAGTGAGCCATCTGTCTTAATTTTGATATAATACCAACACTGTCAGAGAAACAGGATTAAGTCACCTTCAAAGCCCTTCCCAGAAACAGTTTTATGTCTTTCTTCTGAATATAAATATCCATTCTTTGCTAACCAGAGAGCAATAAAGAACAGAAACCAGTTGGAAACTAAAAATCAGTTAGTTAGAAACTCACAAAGGTAACTTTTTCAATCCTGAAACTTATTTACAAAAATCTTTTTGTGGGACACCTGGGTGGCTCAGTTGACTGAACGTCTGACTCTTGATTTCAGCTAGATCATGATCCCAGGTCATGGCACTGAACCCTGTATCAGGCTTGGTGTTGAATGTGGAACCTGCTCAAGATCTCACCTTCTCTCCCTCTGCCCATCTCCCCCACTTGCACTATAGAATAGAATAGATAGAATAGATAGAATAGATAGATAGAATAGAATAGAATAGAATAGAATAGAATAGAATAGAATAGAATAGAATAGAAAAATGAGTAAAATAAAATAAAATAAAATCTTTTGGGGCACATTTTGAGCTTTTATTATTAAGCAGTTTAACTGCCAATAAGTCTCTCTATCAAGCAAACACAGAAAAGCAAGTTTTTCTCATTATTCTTGTTACTATTCTCATTACTACAGTAGTATTCAGTAAGGCATCTAGGCCTTATGGAGAACAAGAAAACAGGACTAAAAACCAGGAACTAAGATTCTAACCTGGCTCTGCCATGAAATTGTTTTTCATTTCTTGTGTTTTTTTTACTCCGATTTTCACATAACCTTTCACATAAACTCCTCAGCCCTAATTTTCATTATGCAGATTTGCAAGGTAAAATGTACAACATATCATGTAAATAGGGAAAAAAGCAGGCATTGAGCCTATGCTGTGCTTGCTTTTTACTGATAACATTAACATTACTTAGAATTTTAAATGACATTGATGGAGTGACTTTTAAATTTGTTAAAAGGAATTATGGGTTGCAAAACACTGATCTAATGTATAGAATGTATAATCACTAAAATCTCTGCCCCCCAAATCTTGCCTAATATTCAAATAACTACCCTACTTGAGAAACTCATTATATGGTTTTCAAAGCATAAGATTTGGCATAAAATAGTCCAGAATTCAAATATTAGCTCCAACACAGGGCATCTTACTTAAATCACTATAGTAACAACTATTTGTTCTGGCTGACCTTCCCTTCTCTTAGAACCCAGCAATCCTTCTTTTACGAGACTGCTCCTCTCTTTCCCCCTCAACTATCACCTTTTTGCCCATACAGTTCAAGTAGAAGCCGCTACCTTTTTACAGATTCAACCTTTCCGAGCAATGACTGGCCAGGGATTGGCTCCTGACCAAAGCTTAACCAGTCACAATACACCAGCTCACCATCACAGGGATTATTCAAGAACAGGCTCATGACCAAAGACAAGGCAGACAGGACCTTTATTTAGGATGCCTTCATTTGGAACTAATAGAAAAATATGATGGGGTGCTGGGGTGGCTCAGTTGGTTAAGTGTCGAACTCCTGATTTCAGCTCCAGTTGTAATCTCACGGTTCAGGAGTTTGAGCCCTGCCCATTGGGCTCTGTGCTGACAGCACAAAGCCTGCTTGGGATTCTCTCTTTCCCTCACTCTGTCCCTCCTGCACTTGTGTGAGTGCACACATGCTCTGTCTCTATCAAAGTAAACTTTAAAAATAAATAATAAAATAAAAATTCATTAGAAAACTATTATTGCCACTATCGCATCTACTAGTACTACCTTTACAACAATAACTGCTGCTGCTGCTGCTACTACTACACTACTAATTATGGAAACTAGAATTTATTAAGCATTTAATACATGACAGATGTTATGTGATAAGCACTTTACATGGATAATCTCATTCATTCTAAGGAATAATTATCCTGTGAAATGATGAAGGTGGGCAAATGTGAGTCCAGGAGCTGGGCATAT